TGTGGTTTGGGGTCAAGGAGCCCTTCGACCTCCTGCTCAGTGGCCTAGAAGATACGGCTGTGACGACTGTAATGGAGCCAGTGCTACGAGGCCCAGACTGCCCTGGGGAGCCGGGCAGTCTAGAGGGTACAGTCTGTCTTTTCAGGACAACATTAAGTGGACCGTGGACTGTGGACTGTGGACTGTGGGCCGTGGACCGTGGGCCGCTCGTATGCACACCACCCTGGACCACACCCACCCTTCGGGGTTTGGGAATTTCTCTGGGAAGCATCTGGGGCTCCAAATAGCCCCGTTCCTGGGGCCCCTTCCTTCAGTCCATGACCCCCGTCAGTGTGAGGACCACTAGCCAACCTGTAAAACATTCAAACATCTTGCTCTCCTTGGTTCTTTTTCTCTATGTGCTTGCTGATCCACAGCGTCTGTGCTGCATAGTTTAGAGTTTGAGAAATTAGCAGCAACCTTCCCCAAGATGAGGCTTTTGCCGCATGATTTTTTTCTGAATGAATCAGGGCAAGATGCTTTTCAATGGCTGACATTTTACCCAGAATCCATAAAACAGCTGTTAGCTGTTATCAACTCTATTTTTAAGTAATGTTAAATCATAAGGCCCATAGGATCATCTTTATTCAAAGAAACCAATTAAAATTGTATTAACTTTGTGTTCAAAAAATAAAAAAAAATTAAAAATTAAAAAAAAGAAAGATATCCCTAGAACATGTGCTAAAAGTGATCCGTCTAAGGCTAGTAAGGGGTGGCTCGATATATTTAAGAAAAGAAGTGTTTGTTTATTGATTAAACAGTACATTAAACATGTACTGTATAAAAGAAAGGTTAAAACGGAATCAATCTGTGGGTTGGGAACAGATTAATTCAATTTACATTATTTCTAATGGGAAAAATGATTCCGTTTTCAAACAAATAGCTTCTCCGACAGCCTTCCAGAATGAATTAAGTTCAAGAATCAAGGTTCCACTGTACATATAGCATTTGCTTTGTGCCAAGAACTACAGTAAGCACTTGATAAATATTAACTCGTGTTATCCTTGTCTCTTCGGCATAATTCCAAAATGCTAAAGGGAAGAGACCAGATCTTAGGCTTATGCTAGTTCATTCCATAAGCTGAGCTAATGGTGGATGTTCAAGTTTGTAAACTAACAGCAATATTTATAGTATGTATTGCCATCTCCAACACGATAGCATTGTGTTTGTAAACCAAAAACAGACTTTATAATTTCTTCCCAGTTTCTCATTTCCATAGGCTTTTTATTGAGAGCCTACTGTGTGCCAAGCACTTTATTAAGGGTAGACACATGCAAAAATCAAAAACAGTCTGAGTAAAACCATCTACTGCTAATACTCTGTCCTCTGACAGTTGTTGCTTGAGAAAGTCTGAAAGGAAACTGGTGAACACACACATACCTGAAAGTCCAATCTGATGCCCTAAGATGGTCGAGTACAGATGGGTGACATTGCGAGAGTACCCTCCAAAGGGTTTGAGTGGGTCCAGGGTGAGGGTGATTGCAACTGAGATGTTAACTGGGCCTGAATCCTCCAATGTCTGTGGGGACTGGGTGGACACTCTGGCCTGCCCGCTGGTCATTGTGCTTTCCGGAGTTGTGGTGTCATTTGTGAGATGCTTTAATGTTTCATTCTCTGATACACACAAGTCCAAATCATTAAACCGCAACAGAAAAGTATTCCAATCCTTCCGAAAATGAAACAGAGAGAAAAAAGCGTGAGCAGTCTGAAAGTGCTGCCATGACCCTCGAGGTCGCATCACACAGTGGGGACACCAGGTTCAGAGTCAATCTTTTACAATAACAGAGACAATAAAGCCATTCAGCCTCTTGCACTGCCACAATAGTGTGGTTTTCCAAACCACTCTCATATTCATAACCGAAAATATGAATTCTTCATTGGCATGAGATATTAAACTGTGGGAAACTTATTCAAGAAAATATGTAAGAAACTTATTCAAGAAAATATGTAAGAAAACAAAACAGTATATTATACTTACAGAAAATTATTCAGCCTCAGAAATAAACATGAAAAGAAAGCTTGAACAAAAGTAGTAAAACATTAAAAGCATTAATCTAAACTCATTTAGCAGTTGCAATTAGTTTTGTGTGTGTGTGTATTTTAAATAAGGCTTCCTCAAAAGGTCAATTTTAGCCCCAGCTGGTTTGGCTCAGTGGACAGAGCTTTGGCCCACAGATTGAAGGGTCCCAGGTTTGATTCCGGTCAAGGGCATTTACCTCAGTTGCAGGCCTGAGGCAACCAATCTATGTTTCTCTCTGTCTTTCCCCTCCATTCTCTCTAAAAATCAATGCAAAAATAAAAAAAAATTTTTTTTTAAAAGGTCAATTCTATACACCTTGCCTTCTCTCGAGAATGTGAAACCAAGTAAATACCAATACATGGGATTTTTTCCCCCCTTGTCACGGACTTGGGATGCTACCTTAGAACAGAAACAATTTCCAAAGGGAGAAAAAAAGAAAAAGATGTTTTCAGGCTTCCCTTAATATCTACACCCTGTATTAATGGTTTAAATCATAAGCAGTTTTAAAAACACAGACAGCTTATTATGTCATGGTTAAACTGATATCAACATAGTAAAGTACCCATCAGGATTTACTTTAATTTTAGCAGAAACAGCAACAACAAACCTAACCAAGGTTGTGACATTCTCCCAGGCAACATTCGTCTACAAAAAGTTGCCAAATGTGAAGACAAACCAAGTGACACCTCCAATTACACTTATACTAGCATTAATTAAATGCCATTTGAGCAATCCCCAAGCATTCAAGCGAGTCTACCTCTAGAACATCAGTAAATCAGTATATGGCATTTAGTAAGATTACAACTGGATGTATCAAATTACTTTTTCCCTAACACAGTGGTCGGCAAACTCATTAGTCAACAGAGCCAAATATCAACAGTACAACGACTGAAATTTCTTTTGAGAGCCAAATTTTTTAAACTTAAATTATATAGGTAGGTACATTGTTATTAACTTAATGAGGGTACTCCTAAGTTGGACTTAGCTAAAAACATCCTCATTTTATAATAATAAAGCCACCAACACAAAATAATTACAATTCTTAAATCTATGCCAAAAATACCTGTAAGATTTGCAGCTGGTTGGAAAAATACAGGCAACTTTATGCTTCGAGTAGGTACTTTTGCCACCCGCGCGCTTTGCGGACGCGACTAGTACTAACCACTGCACAATGAGACTCCTGATTGACTGGCTCACTCAACTTGTGCATGAATCGCACGAGCCTCCCGCGCTGCGTATCCCGCGGCCCGCCTGCACCGCGTCTCCCGTCACCCGACCGACCCGACACCCCCAACTTCTTCTAATGCCACTTCTTCAAAAAAGACTCACCCAGGCTGAAAACCGACTTCTGCGCATGGGCCACGAAGTTTCAATCGCATGTACGTGCGCCCGCACGTGGTATTTTGTGGAAGAGCCACACTCAAGGGGCCAAAGAGCCGCATGTGGCTCGTGAGCCGCAGTTTGCCGGCCACTGCCCTAACACCTACATTCTAGTGTCATCCCTTCATACTCCAGACACAAGGAAACTAAAGTCCAGTGCAAATTACCACTTTCTAATTCCACAGTTGAAGGCAGAATCAGAGTTAAGTTTCCTAACTCACAGACCCAAACTCTTTCCATATACCTAGGATCCTCACTTGAAAATAAATCACTAAATTAATCATAGCCAAAGTTCTGCAGCATCTGGCAATGCTTTCCTGTAGAGCTCCATTCCATTTTAAAGTCTGCCAAAGCCAATGTCAGGCCCCACTTTGATTTAAGGGCTAATTTTCCAGGCAACATCTTAACCACTGGCCTTGGCTGAGTGTTCAACATAGTCTCCAGCTCTGAGAGGAAGCAATGCCAGTATACCGCAGAGCTGGGATTATGACTAGAATGTTCATTTCAGCCCGGTTGGTGTGGCTCAGTGGTTGAGTGACGACTTATGAACCAGGAAGTCACAGTTTAATTCCTGGTCAGGGCACGTGCCTGGGTTGTGAGCTCGATCCCCAGTGTGGGGCATGCAGGAGGCAGCTAATCAATGATTCATCACTGATGTTTCTCTCTCTCTCTCCCTCTCCCTTCCTCTCTGAAATCAATAAAAATATAGATATATTTTTTTAAATATATTTCTTTGATTTCAGAGAGGAAGGGAGGAGAGAGAGAGAGAAGCATCAATGATGAAAGAGAATCATTGATTGGCTGCCTCCTGCATACCCCCTACTGGGGATCGAGGCTGCCACCCAGGTATGTGCCCTTGGCCAGAATCGAACCTGGGACCCATCAGTCCGCAGGCTGACGCTCTATCCACTGAGCCAAGCCAGCTAGGGCTAGATATATTTTTTAAAAAAGAATGTTCGTTTCATAGGTACTGTGGGTATATCCTGTTTGCACAACCTTTAAAAATTCAGGCAGGGTCAGAGAAGAGGGAACATGAGCCAGGCAGTATGTCTCTTGTAAGAAACTCTTTGAAAGGGATTCATGGTGGAAATAGTTTAAATGTGTTACTTTAACTGTGTTAGGGAGCTCACATGTGAAGGTGGTCCCTCCACCTGAAAGGAATTAATCACTATGATCTAGAATGCCACAAAGCACAAGACAAAATAATGACCCCTATACACTGAGTAGAACTCTCCTCTCCTTCACAAGGCACACCCAGTACAGCAACAACGCAATTCTAGTCTCTACTCCCATGCCACTCCCAACAACAAACATACACAAGAAAAGTGTAAGAGGAGGCACTCAGGGAATCTACTAAGAGAAGAACAAATCTGTCCTAAAAGAAAACTTAACCACCAATAAATTCACCATATCATTAACTGAGCATAATTTCTAACAAGTAAAACAAATTTATTGATAGGTAATATTGTCATTCACCTCTATTAAACAAGAATTATTAACTTTTTGGTTTCTGACATGCAAAAATACACATCACTGTAAATCTGTGTTATGAGTGTTCACACAATTATGTATTAGATTAAGGATTAAAAGGCACTGTCCTAATAATTTTTTTTAAATTGACCAAAATGTAAAATCTAGAAGGTAAGTTTGTAAGCAAGAGAAGTTCTCCTTGATAAAAAAAAAGACAAACATATTTGGAAATAAGATCCCACTTTCTAATTTCTTGAAGATCCCTTCTTATCTATATAGTTAATAAAACTCCATGCTGATGATGATGTGGGCTTTAAAATAACAAATGTTTACAGTTGTTAAAAACTGCAATAAGCTAATTTCATAGGAATATAAACGAAGCTATTCTCTAGATTCGTTACAAACATTTTGCAAATATACTTTCCAAAATACATGATTCATTGCTGAAGTAGTCTAAGTGAAACTGGTAGCCTCATCTGAATCAATAACTATCTGAAAGGGAGATAAAGACAAAAAATTCTGTATACTGACCTTTCTCACTGGGATAAAAAGTCATAACCAAAGAAAAGGATGTGAAGAGCCCAAAGGGGTTATTCCCCTAGATAAGGTCCAGCCAGTCTGAAAGAACTTAGAATGTACCATACCTCCATATGTAATACTTTCAACAACAAAGATTTCTTTTAAAAAAAGACTATACTATACCTCTGCCATTCCCGGTGACTTAATCTCCTTGATTTTGAAGAAATAGCCCAAGGTCAGGAAAGCTATTGCCATGGCGCTCACACTGATCATAAAGACCACCAGGGGAGGCCGACTGCTGATGTATAGCTTCAGGTTCTCCAGGGGGTTGATGTTGAACATTATTCTGATTGTCCACCTGAAAGGAATTAATCAGAAGATACTGACTTGCCCAAAGAAAACCCATGATTTTCACTTTTTCCTTTCACGGTGTTCGGCGGGGGGGTCACTGGTACTTGAGAAATATTTGATCCGAAATTTTCAAAAGACTAGCAAGAAAAAACACATTAACTGTCATTTCCAAATGGTAACCTCTTGAAAGATAGGCATTCCCTTTCAGTTTAATCTTCTAATTATTCTATAAAGAATATTTGTTACTTCCATGTTACTTAAGGAAATATTTAAGTAGGTTAGTAATTTGACACAAATACATGCCAACACATTACAAAACTAAATTGAGGATGTTCTCATTTCCTACCACTGAAAGCTGAATACCATCTACTCAACACTGTACTGTTTACTGCTATACTCTTGTCCATTCCAGCACCAGGCATAGAGAGGCACTCAATAAATACCAAATTTCACCTTTATTTTAAATTGCATCTACTTGAAACCAAACTTTAACCCCCGCCCCCAATATATGAAGCTTTTATTCCATCTGTAAAATATTGCAAATAAGTGTGACAATTCACTCAGTATCTTGCTGTTTCTATAGCTGGACAACTTACATATTCATCAGCCTGTTGAACTGTTCCTTTTTCAGAAACATAGATACCATCCAAAAATTTTCTGATATCCTTGTTAACTGTTGTGACTTGCTGAATCAAAGCAGCTGATTTTGATACAAGTTCAATGTCATTTCCTTCAAGAATTAACTCATCTTTCCGGGCTTGAGATACTGAACAAGCAATGCTTTACCTCATCCAAATTCTTCCGATGTATTTTTTCGCCCCCAAAATTTCTGATTTCAAAAAGAGAATCATTCTCCTGAATAATGACACTGATGGGAAAGTGAAAGTACACCGGCCTTATAACAGAAGCCCAGTGGAACACCCTTGATCATGTTCTGTACATGACTGCAGACTGTACAAATTGTGGCCAGTTACTTTCTATTTCCTCACCATTTGTCAACCTAGAGCAGTGGTTCTCAACCTTGGCTGCACATTAGAATTACCTGGGAATCTTTTTAAAATCCTAATTTCTGGGCCTCATCCTCCAGAAATTCTGTTTCTTTGTTACTCATGTTGTTGCCCCACCCCATAACAAAGAAACAGAATTTCCGGAGGATGGGGCCCAGAAATCAGGATTTTAAAAAGATTCCCACGTGATTCTAATGTGCAGCCAAGGTTGAGAACCACTGACCTAGAGCCTCTTCTTTTTCTTTCCCAGGAGACAGAGTTCTACATTGATGTGATTCAAGTCCCTCTGAAGGGTGCCTCTGGGGCCTTCAGAGTGATGTCCACATATTCTGGGATGTTAACAGTTGATTGCTGAGAATGGTCTTTATCCTCGCAGTACATAAGAGCAAACCAAACTTCTTTATCCACCATTTAGATGTCTTTCTAGGTGAACTGCCTGAATCTTTACTATAAGATGTCTGTCGATTTCTTGTTAATGTTTAGGAGTCCCTTTTATATTCTGGAAACTGAGCATTTACCAACTTTATATGTTATACTATTCATCTGTGGATTTTCTTTAATATGGTTCATGGTATCTTTTGCCATATGAAAGGGTCTTGATTTTTTTAAAACAGTTTATAAGATCTAATTCACCTACCATACAATTCACAGATTTAAAGTACACAATTTAACTAACAGAATTGGGCAAACCATCACTATAATAAACTTTTGCACATTTTCATCATTTCATAAAAAAACCCATACCTTGTAGCAAATAACCCCTTATTTCTCCTAGCTCTCAAGCAACCACTAATGTACTTTCTGTCTCTATAGATTCGCCTATTCTGAACATTTCAAGTAAATGAAATCATACAATGTGATCTTTTGTGGCTAACCTCTTTCACTTAGCATTATGTTTTCAAGATTCATCCATGTAGCACATATCATTACTTCATTCTTATCTATTGCCAAAACTATTCCATTGTATGAAATATTTTATTTATTCATAAACATTTTGTTTATCCATGTCAAAATTTGGGGGATACAGCAAAAGTAGTAATAAGAGGGAAGCTTTAAAGCATTACAGGCCTATCTCAAGAAACAAAAATCACAAATAAATAACCTAGCATTTCACCTTAAAGAACTAGAAAAAGAAGAACAAATGAAGCCCAATGAAGAATATTCTTTGCTCTAGGTCATGACAACTTAATTTTAAACTCAAGGTTTGGAATGAGGAACCTAAAAAAAAAAAAAAAAAAAAAAAAAAATTACAGCAGAATTAAACTACATAGAGAACAAGACAATAGAAAAATTAATGCAACAAAGAGCTAGTTCTTTAAGAGGATTAATAAAATTGACAAACCTCTGACTAGACTCACTAAAGAAAAAAAAGACACAAAATCAGAAATGAAAGAGAAGTTACAACAGACACCACAGAAATAAAAAGGACTATACAAGATACTATGAAGGCTATATGCCACCAAATTTGATAACCTAGAAGAAATGGACAAGTTCTTTGAAATATATAACCTTTCTAGAATGAACCATGAAGAACTGGAAAATCTAAATAGACCAATTGACAGTAAAGAAATTGAAACATTCATTAAAGCATGTCAAAAAGTAAAGGACCATCTGGCTCCCACCAAAATGTAATACCTATCCTTCCTAAGATCTTCCAAATAATTGAAGAAGAGCAATACTTTCGAACCCATTTTATGAGGCCAATATTACCAATAGCAAAACCTGGCAAGGATCACACACACACACACACACACACACACACACACACACTACAGGCCCATATCTCTGATGAATGTAGATGCAAAGTCCTAAACAAAACACTATCAAACAGAACACAACAATACATTAAAAATACATCATGATCAACCACATTAACAAAGGATAAAAGTCACATGATCATATCAATGGATGCAGAAAAAGCATCTGACAAGACATAACATCCACTTATAGTTTAAAAACTCAATAAACTGGTATAAAAGGAAGGTACTTGACCATAATAAAAGCCATATATGATAAATCCTCAGCTAATATCGTATTCAATGGCAAAAAAAAACAAAAACAAACTGAAAGCTTTTCCTCTAAGATCAGGAACAAAACAAGGATGCATCCTCTCATCATTGTTATTCAACATACAGTACTGGAAGTCCTAGACAAAGCAATCAAGCAAGAGAAACAAATTTTTAAAAATACATCTAAATGAAGAAGTAAAACTGTCACTTTTTGCAGATGACATGATTCCCTAAATAGAAAACCCCAAAGACTCCACCAAAAAAAACCTATTAGAAACAATAAACAAATACAGTAAACTTGCAAGATACAAAATCAATGTACAAAAATCCATTGTTTTACTATAGACTAGACCCGTGGTTGGCAAACTGTGGCAAGCGAGCCACATGCAGCTCTTTGGCCCCTTGAGTGTGGCTCTTCCTAAGCCTTAGGAGTACCCTAATTAAGTTAATAACAATGTGCCTACCTATATAGTTTAAGTTTAAAAAATTTGGCTCTCAAAAGAAATTTCAATCGTACTATTGATATTTGGCTCTGTTAACTAATGAGTTTGCCGACCACTGGACTAGACTAACAATAAAATTTCAGAAATATAAATGAAAAAACAATTATATTTGCAATTGCAACCAAAAAAAGAATAAAATACCTAGGAATAAACAAAGAATGTGAAGGACCAATACACTGAAAAGTACAAAACACTGTTGAGAGAAACGGTTGAGAGAAACACTGTTGCAAATTCTAGCCTAGAGAATAAATAAAATCTACTTTCCTGTGCAAGGGAAAAAAAAGAAAGAAACACTGTTTAAGAAGACACAAAGAAATGGAAAGATACTGTGTTCAGTGATTGGATGAATCCACATAATGAAAATGGCCATATTACCAAGAACAATCTACAGATTTAATGCAATCCCCATAAAATCCCAATGGCATTTTCAAAGATATACAACAAAAAATCATCAAATTTGTACAGAACCACAAAAGACCCTGACGAGCCAAAGCAATCCTGAGAAAAAGAGCAAAGCCAGAGGCATCACAATTTTTGATTTCACGTTATACTACAAAGCTACAATAATGAAAACAGTATGGTATTAGCAGAAAAACAGACACAAAGACCAATGGAACAGAACTGAGAGAACCCAGAAATAAACTCACATGTATATAGACAACTAATTTTTCAAAAAGGAACCTAAAACATACAATGAAGAAAGCTGCTTCAATAAATGGTGTTGGGAAAATTGCAAAGCCATGTGCAAAAGAATGAAATTAGACTACTATTTGACACCATATACAAAAATTAACTCAAAATGGATCAAAGACCTAAATATAAGACCTGAAACAATAACATTCATATAAAAAAATCACTAAACTTGTGAATCTTTATCTCAGAGGATTTTATGAAGTTGACACCAAAGGCAAGGGAAGTAAAAGCAAAAATAAATGACTGGAACTATAACAAACTAAAAAGCTTCTACACAGCAAAATAAACTATCAACAAAACAAAAAGGAAACTAACTGAACAGGAGAAGGTATTTGCAAACATTACTTCTAATAAGCACCTAATATCCAAACTCTATATATATAAAAGGCTAAGCGACCAGCTGACCAGCTGACCAGCCAGTAGGTATGATGCACACTGATCACCAGGTGGCAGACACTCAACACAAGAGGTGCCAAGCTGCAGTGACTTGAAAGTGGTGGTTCTCGGGTGATGCACCTCGGAACTAAAAAGAAGAGAGACCAATTCCAGGGTGCGTCACCTGAGAACTGCCCTCTCACAATCCAGGACCCCTCAGGGGATGTCGGAGAGCTGGTTTGGGCCCGATCCCCACAGGCCAGACAGAGGGACTCATCTGCTGGAGGGACCCCCGCTCACTCCACAGATGCCCTTAGAGCCACGGCGCTACCCCACTGGGGCACTAGTATATAAATAATATCCATAAAGAACTCATACAACTAAACAATAAAACAAACAATCCAATTTAAAAGTGGGCAG